ATGACTCGAATCGTTCCTGTGTTGGGAGATGTCTCAGTTCAGAGCTGACTTTCTGCTCTGGTTGTTTACTAAGAAATGTTAACCCTAGCAATTCAGAAGTGGCATAATCAGGTGGAAAAAAAGCGAGGGTGTGGAGTCAGAGGGCCTGCGAGTGAGTTAGGGAGCTGGTTCTGGAGAGCTGTGTAAGTAGGCAAGTGAGCTTGTCCCTGGTAAATTGGAGAAGAGTGATTTCTGCACAAAGAGTGTGCTGTGACAGTGCTTTGCAGTTGTCGTGCTGGGCAGAGTATAATAAAGGTAAGAGACAACAGGGACTTGGGTCCCATTTCCACATTCTGAAGCAGTCCAAGGAGGGAGTGAATTGGTCAGCACCGGCGAGATGCACACGTCTCTGTTACTGTGGCATCTTCTCCGGGGTGTGTGTGTGTGTGCGTGTGTGTGGTGTTTTAGAATGCTGTGGTTAACAATCCTAGCATCTGTGACTTCGTGGTTCTCCCCTGGCCTGTGCAAGCATGACAGCTATGGGATCAGTCACTTTAGGCTCAATCACTTCCTAGCTCACTGTATTATCCTGGGAGAATTTTTAAATTTATACACCTTCATGTTTCCAGACCAAGTGCAAACTAGGGACAAAAATAAACAACTTTGCCTGTATGGTGGCAGGTGAAGACCTTTTGTAAGCTGTATTGAGCTCCTTGTAATTTTGGATCCATTTTTTTTTAATCTCCCTGTTGCTAGTGGCTAAAGGGCCTCTCGGAGTTTAAAAAGATCCACTGGTTCAGGAGGGGAAATAGAAGCTTATAGAGGAAATGACTTTCCAAGAGCCTTTCGGTGAATTGGAATCCTAAGATCCATGCCCAGCTTTGTCACAATATGTCAAATCCCACTTTTCAGCATGAACCTGATTTTCCTCTGCCTAGAACAATCATGGAGGAAAACAGGAACATCTGGAAGGGATGTCACCTCTCATGATTTTTGAAGAGGGTGGGAAAAATCTTTCTGGTGAGAGTTGCTACAGGTATGGCGGCTCTCCTTCCATCCCCTCTCTTCCAATGGTGACTTGTTCCTTGGGTATTTATTTGGGTTTTGAATGAGTCAACCTACTTGTGACCCAGAGAACCAGCGTGCTGGAGTTCATCAGAAAACAAAGCAGCTCATCCTGACCCCAGAGCCCATTTACTCTGCACGGGTGAGAAAGTCCTGTCTGATCTTCAGTTTATCTATGGTAACTTTTGGGGAACAACTATGAACAACTTTTGGAGTAATTTTTCTCTTCCTGCTTTATAGGATTGGTATGGAAATCAAAAAGAGCACTTTCTTTGTTGGTAAATAATATTGCAATATTTAGATTCCTTGACTTTATCATTTAAAATGTGCACTTGACTTCTCCATTCCCTTCCCAAAGAAAAGGTATGGATGCTGATAAAGAGAAGCAGTTTAACTCCTGAGGGCAGTTGGCAAGGGGCTGTTTTTACTTGGTGTCTAAGTTCCCCGGATTTAAACCCGGACCAGTTCAAATGCAGATTGAGAATGCAGAGTGAGACGAAAGAAATCATGAAGTCCAAGCACAAGTTCAGGAACCTCAGGTTCCCAGCAGCCTCACATCCGTCTGAACTTCTAATAATCAATTCTTCATTGAGCCCTACTTCCTCATTGCAGCCCCTGTAGATGTGTTTGTCTCAGGGACTTAGTCCTTGGGTTTCAGAAGGGCCCCATGTAAGAAACTGAGGTCTGGCAAGGTCGCGCACACTGAGGAAATGACAGAATCCACACGAGAAGCCAAGTCTGGATTCTCAATTCACTGCTCTTCCTGACATATCACCACTCTTCCCTCCTGTCAGGTGAAGAGCGAAGCCAGATGGTTTGACAAATGGTTCTTGTTGCTGTCAAATCTGCCTTCTTGTTCTGCTCTGACAGACAGTTCTTACCTTCTCTTTCTTTCTTGGGGGAGGGGTGAAGAGGTGGGTGGTAAGAGAGGGAGTGGGGTAGACGAAGAGGAAAACACGTTTCATTGCCCGATGCTTTCTGCGGTAGAGATGGCCGATAAGCTCTTGTTGCTCTGGCGAGAAACAAAGTGAAGGCAACGAGTAATCGTCACCTTGAATTTAAAGCACACAGAGGCCTAGAAATGGCGGGCTATGTTAGCAGGCAACATTGATTTCATATATATTCATCTTTACAAAAAACATGTTTAGGATGCCATATCCATAAATACTAATAAGACTGTCTGATTCCAATTTTCAGGTGAGATTAGCATTTTATTGAGTATTTTAACTGTCAGATTCAATACTTGATGTACCATCCTCCCCGGCTTATTAGCATAATTGCTGTGCTTAAGCAACAATAAAAAATTCAGCAGTAAAATAGCAGTTAGTGCAGGCAATTTGTTATCAAAAGCTTTTACTTAAGGACAGCTCCATCCTGCATTTATTAGCAAGTTAGGGTTATAATTTATTTTTATTTGGAAAAACAAAGGGAAAAAGATTTTTTTTTTTTTGTTTTGAAAATAATAGAGAAATTAGAAAGCATTGCCTCCCCGGAAACCTGTGCCCATCCCTTGTTCCTGCCCTGAAAGCAGGCAGGCCCTGATGGAAGTAGATTCCACTCGAGGCTCCTTGGCTCCGACACAGTCACTCTCCTAGGTATGGGAACAAGCGAGTGGTAATGTCCCTTTGGGTTTGTACAGACATCTCTAAAACAGCTTCAGATCTCTGTTGTTGCTTACATCTCCAGTTCTGTGAGGTCTCCATTCTTAGAAACTAACAACTGAACTAAAATGACTTGTTCCAGAAGCAGCAGCCGGGTGGCACAGCCAAGCTACCGGAGCTCATCCTGTCCCACCTCCTGTCCCACCTCAGCATTGTGCAGCTGCCCGGAACTCCAGGAGGCACCGGGCTCCTGCCTGTGGTGGTGGAAGGATTTCCACCTGGCTTTTCACGTAAACTCAGACACGCACTGTATACATGTGCGTACACATACACACCTGCACACACATATGTAAGTCTATGTACGTAATTTATGTCCACATACACAGTCACACACATATATTTTTTCTTAAAATTTAATTTAGTGTTTAGTTACGTGATTTATTTCCTTTGGCACCCTGGTTGCAGCAATTCAGCCGCATGAATTTCTCCTGGCAGCAATTGTCCTCCATCTCTTGCCTTTAAAATGACTCTCTGTCTCTATCGCTTCCCCTCCCACCCCTCATGCCTGAATCTAAATAGTACTTGTGATTCTCATCTGTGAAGGACCTGCTATGATAGAAATGATTTCATAAGTAATGTGTCAGTCTTTGCAGAGAACACTGTAGAGAAGTTTGAAATTGTGGAAATTGGGATATCATTTTTTTTTTTTAAGAAATGTTTCAGAAAGAAATAGAACATTAAATTTAGACTTCTTGTGTTTTAGGACTTCAATTATGGGTAATAATATTCAAGTTGAAGATGAATTTAGGGTGAAGATGGACAATTGAGGGCTCCTAAATTTTGAGAGAGTTTTTTTTCGTAGCATCTTAAATTTTATTTCCTCAGTAAGTTCAGAGAAAGATCATATAATGATTGTTGTTGAACACCTCTAACTTGTAAGGGTCTGTACGGGCCATGGTGGAGTTTTCGGACTGAACCAGAGAAGACTCTGAGACTCAAGACATGTTTAAACTACTTGAGAAGATATTAATAATAAATTACCATTTTTCTTTTAGCAGCTATTATAGGATAGAAACTCTGGTAAGAATTTTTCCTATGTCATTTAATTTTCATATCCCATTCAATTATTCATTGAATAAACATTTATGGAACATTTATTATGGGTCAGACACTATTGTATTTTGTATATACCATCTCATTTATTATCTCGAAGAATCCTAAGAGAGAGTGGCAGGTACTGCTATTGTTCTCATTGTTTTTATAAGGAAACCAAGGCATAGAGAGGGTCAATAACTTCTTTAAGTCACACAGCTGGTTAGTAATAGAGCTATTTTTGTCTTCCAAACATGCATTCTTTCCACTGCACAATCTGACAAAAAAATGAACAAGGTAGATGGGGAGGACAGACTGTGCTGTCAATGACTGGAAGCTGGCAGATCCTGTCAGAGCCTGGATGTTTACAAAGAACACCAAACTTGAAACTGGACAGGTGTTCAAATCCTAGAATTCTTCTTGGTGTTTGTAAAAGCCTCAGTTAAAAGACTTCTTAGTATTTCAGTATCCTCCTTTGAATTAGGGATAATAAAATCTCTCCCCCAGTGTCACTGTACAAATAAATTTGACAGTGTATTTGACAACCTTCAGAAGGACCTGCTTCCCGGTGGATATTCAGGCCAACTTGGACGTGCCTAGGAACGGGCCATTTGCTGCCCTGGTTAGGGACAGCCACATAAGCCATATTTCCTGGATTTAAAGCTATGACCCCACGCGATACCATATGATCTTGGACAAATAACTTTGTCTCTTTGTGCGTCAGTTTCCTCATGTGTCATTCGACTTACTTCATACTATTGTTATGAGATTAAGTAGGTTAAAATGTATGGAATAATGTGTGCACGCTCCATAGCAAGCTTCTAAGAGTGTTGGGTCTTACTGTTGGGTCCTACTCTGTGTGTTGTATTTCATCTACAACGATGAAAGAGGACAGGTACAAAGTGAACACTTTAGGTCCATTTAGAATCCCTGCTGATTTACTGAGGAGCAATGAACAAGTGCAGCCTAAGATACAGGAGTTGCGTTTACATAGCCACTACAGATGTTGTAAGAGTTGTTGGCTTCTCTGCCTCTGACCTTTGCTTAACTGCATAAGGGGGTTGGGAGAGTAAACTTGAGAGGATAAAGAAATGTGGGGGGCATGGAATGCGCTTGCATTCTGGGTAAACTCGCTGGCAGGAAGGTGCTGTGGGGCCACCAATGGTCAGTTTGCTGGACAAAGCCTCAGCGTGGCATTTCTTTTATGTCTGCATGTGTCTGGGTCCTGTCCTCAAAGTTGTTTCCCATTTCTTTCCTGTTTAGACACGATTGCTGTAGCGGGCCGCCTTTTCCTTGGATCCTTGGTGGTTGGAGCTTCGGCGTGGCTATCACTTCTTCCAAGGTAATCCATTTTAACTTACATATCTTTCCTACGTGCAAAGAGTCGGAGTGCACCAAAGATGTTTAATTCTAAAGATATGTTGCTGAGATGAGCTCTCAGATGGAGAATTCTTCAGGATCTTGGGCTTTATTGGGGTTATTCACCATCAATTACTTTTACAAAAATGAATGTGAAACTTCCAGGAATTGGTAGTGTGGATTTGGAGGCCTTTCTTTAGCCTATTCAAAACAGAAACGGAAAGAAAAAAAGTATTTGTTCATGTCATCCAAAAATGTCTTATTAAAAGAAAGAACATTAAGATGATACCATTCGTTGCACAAGGGGGTTTTTGATTATCAAAGCACCTTAACACACATTTTCTTCTGTGTGCCTTCTAGTAACCCTGTGAGATGGGGAAGGCAGGTTTCACCACCATCTGTCTTCTACAGATGCTGTGACTGAGGCTCAGAATGGTGAAGTGAGTTTTCTTACAGCAGTGATGGATTCGAACCCAGAACATTTAACTTGGGGATGCTTTCTGCTTTACCACCCCGATTTGAGTGTAATGAGGTCATTCTTACCAAGTACTACCTAGGTTATACGGATTTAAAAATGCTTGCTTTTATTTTCCTTCTTAAAATAAATTGTTTAAAAGCAGCTATCATTTGACATTAACTCCTTTCTACCAAAGTATAAACAGCCGTGAATCTCCAGAACTTTTAAACCAGCATGTGTTTGTCAAACACTCAAAATGTCAAAGTATTTCCTGAAACTTGCTTTAATGAACAGAGAGGTGAAGGTAACATTCCTTTTTTGCATGAGGTAATTAGGAAACAGGATGTTTCAAACTTGCTATATGAATTTAAAGAGGAGCACTTGTACTGATGGTAAAAACTGGATGGGCACATTACTGAGAGTTTCACGCTGGCAGAAATTTTAAGGGAAAGAAGTTCTCATTAAGCATATTAGCTATTTTAAGTTTGCTTGAGAATGTAATCTGTTTCATAAGTTGAATCCAGGGAGGTCTTTATCTCTACACACCAAAAAAAGAAAAAAAAATCCAAAACAATAAGAACAATAAAACCCCCAAACAGAAGCATAATTTAACCATCTAGTTCCAACTGTAAAATCCCTTTATCCCTTTATCTGAGAGCCTGGGTGTGTCTTCAGAATACAAAAGAGAGGAAATGAAATATCTCTTGAGCTTCTTAATGACTTAGTGTCTGCACAGTCCTTGCTTGCAAGATACAGGATTGGATACTCTTTAGCAAATGTCTTTGGGTCCCTCAGACACCTGGCATCTAATAAGCCCAGTGCTGTTTTAGCCTCCTGTGCCAGTGTGTATGGGTTAGGTGACAAGTGTTTTAGAAATTTACGTCCTCCCTGCACGCTACATGATTCTCAGGTGGTAGCATCAAGTGCCTTGCTAGCTCCCTGAAAGCCAGTGTCTTGAACAGCCTGCCTTGGAAGGAGGCAGAATGTGTTTCTGTTTGTACAGCTCACTCCCTTGAGCCCTGCACTTCCCACCTTTGATGGTTTCCCTTGAGATCTGCATCGCCTAGTAATGTCACCTTGTAGTTGTAGGCAGTATGGCTAAGAGTTTGCTCTACCCTCGGGAGTCCACATACCATCTCCCTCTGACATGGGCTAATTAGCTCCCCCTCTGCAAACAAGGTTAGAATGAAATCTCCTATGTGGTAGGTGAGCTGCAGAAAGTGGCAGATGGTCTTCTCTGAGTATCTGTCACACCCTTAGCTCTGCTTAATCTGGCATTGCCCTGTTCTGTGTGTCTCTTGTGCTGCATTTCGAACTCCTAGGAGGCAGGTGTCCTGTATTAATCACCGTGGTGGTGCATGGCCCATCGTAGACACTTATTGTTAAGTAGTTGGGCTTCATGTCTTAAGAAGCTGAGAAAGTATTTTTCCTTCACAGAGAGGTGGCTGTGAATGCTGCTCCTTCAGCGTTTCCCGGGTCTTACCACCCCGAACACTGTTCCCACAGCTGTTCCTTGGGAAACTCACAGTCTGGCTACGACTGGTCAGCGAAAGCTCTTTGTAAGCTGAAAGGATGTGCTCGTGAACCACCTGGATGAGGTTTACGTGCACAGGGGATCTGCCACCTCCTCCCACACTGGGGAAGTCCCTCGCACACCCCTCTCCTTCCTCACCCGAGTAGTGAGGTGATCATGAACGGATCCTTGAGGGGATAAGCAAAAGATTTGTCAAACAGCACTAAGTAACTTGGTTTCTTATAGATAGGAGGTTATTTTATTTTAAAAAAGTAAAGTGCTTCACGGGTAAGAAAAGAACACATACTTAAAGTGGAATATTTCTCAACAATAAAAAAGGAATTAAATATTGACATATGCTACCTCTTGGAAAAACCTTATAAACATAGCAAGTAAGAGAAGCTGGTCACAAAAGGCCACATATTTTATGACTCCATTTATATGAAAAGTCTGCAGTAGGCAAATCTATGAAGTCGATAGAGACAGACAATAAATTACTGGCTGCTCACTGTGTTGAGTGGGAGATAGGGAGTAACTGCTATGGGTATGAGTTTCTTTGGGGAATGCAGAAAACGTTTTTTATATTCGATTGTATTGCTAGTTGTATAGCTCTGGGAGTGTGCTAAAATCTTGATTTAAACTTTATATAGGTGAATTCTATTGTATATGAATTACATCTCAATAAAACATTAAAAACGTAGGTTGCCCTTTAATTTATAGTCTGGCTGGATAATTACATCCGTCTGATTACCAGCATTAAACAAAACAAAACAAAACAGTATAAGCTGGGTGTAGTAGTGAATACATGTAATCCCAGCACTTGGGAGGATGAGGCAGGAGGATTGCAGAGAGTTCCAGGCCAGCCTGGGCTAGTATAGCAAGGCTCTGTCTTAAACAAACAAGCAAACAAACTCAAAACAACCCAAAGCCAAATATGGTCTTTGAAAGTTGCTTTAGGGAATCAAAATAGTTTATATCAATTTTTTTTTATTTGGCCAAATTTTTAACTCATCTTGATTTGTTTTGGGAGAAAAAGTTATATGTACCGAACGACGAAGACCACGATAAAGGAAAAATTGATAGTATAGCCAGAGCCACCAAACTTGAAATATATTGTCCCCCTTGCTTTATGCACCATCTTCTAGGAGCTTTAAAAATTTGCACTTCCTGAAATGTTGATTAGTGAGATATCCAATAAGAAATAACAGGGTACTGACAGCCCTGATTGCATAAATAGGCATTTGGGATTGTGTTCATGGTTTGCTTGTCAGCACAAGAGAAATGTGTGATTATGTTGAATGATGATTAATTTCCTTATCCATCCATTTAAAAAATAAAGATATATGGCAGGGAGACAGGTGCCCAAGTAAAAAGCAGGAGACCTGCAGCTTTCATAATGAACTCCAGAGAGGAACTAGAAGGAACATGTTCCTATTTACAAATCGGCATTTGAGGTCTGACTGACTTCTGGCTGTTGCTCATGAATTCAAGAACTTTCGCTAGGGCTTCACCATGTATTTTTCATTCACTCTTGCTTTGGGTTTGAGTCTGGACAGCTTTTCCCCTCCTTCCAGGTCATTGTTCCACCCTGAGTGACTAACATGTTGTACACACAGAGTTCAAAGGTCAGACAGTGGACTGCTATAGAGAGGCAGGAGGATGAGTTGTGCTTTCTAGCTTTGCAATGTGAACACTTCATACACAAACAGTTCTCTTTGATTAAGTATCTGGTGAAACCAATTCACATGAACTCCAATTAAACTTTAATGAACAAGTGGGTGTATTAATATCAGCTGAGTAATGTAGGCAGCACGGATTCCAGTAAGTGACTCACTTCTCTGAGCAACTCATTCCCCATGCACGGTTAGAGTTACTAGAAAGCTTCCAGCTGTATTAGAGTGGATCTGGTCTGGGCCTTGTAATTCTAGCAATCCGCGGGGCTTGTTATTCATCTGGTGACCAAATCACAGTCATCTGGATCTCTGTTTTCAGAGCAAGGATGAGGATGGGAAGACTTGTTCACATTGAGAGATTTAGGTCCTTTGTGGACCAGTGACATTTGGACTTTTAGTTTTTCCACCTTCCTGGTGTTTGTTTTGTTCTTCTCTATTAGGGAATTCTTTTCCTTCTTAAACCTAAGGACAGTGTAGGTGAAGGTTGGACACTTACTTTTGAAAGTTGGAACCCAATTTAGTCTCCCTGAGTCTTCTGTCTCTCTGCACTTGCTGGTCTAACTCAAGTCTATAAGCTCCGCACACTACACCTGAAGCAGTGTGGTGTGCTTGGAATGATGAGCCTTTTTGAGCATGGACCCTGTTTTGTCTAGAGATAGATGACTGTTCTTCCTTCCTAGGAAAGATAACCAGATAACGAATATAGTCTAGCTCTTAGTTTCAGGCCTGGCCCATAGTAAGTTCTCGGCAAATGTTTGTTAACTTGGACCAGTGGCGGGGGAGGGATTTGTAGATGAATGGGGCTCAGTTGTTGACAATTCAGAAGTTCAGAGTCTCCTAGACATTTAATGTAATGATGTCTGTGTATTGACAGAGTGATAAAGACTAGAAGCTTGGAAGAGATAATGAGCAAGGAGGATCTCAGGAACAGGGAGGTCATAGATGGGCTGCATGTGAGAAGGCTCAGGTTAGGATGGGAATAGGCAGGGGTCTAGGAAGGCAATTTCAGGGTGACCCATGAGCATGAGCAAAAGCAAAAGTATGAATGGACTTGAGAATGAGGTAGGAAACATTCAGTGTAGTTAGAGTAGAGGATATGTTCAGCCGCAGGATCCTGATTGGGACTGAGTTGAACCTCTGTCTTGGCTATGAACCCCATTTCCAGTTTCATACTCTCTCCTGTTCTTGTCTTCTGTACTGTTCTAGAAACCAGTTGAAACTAATACAGGAGTTGGACGGATATCAGGCAGTGTCTAGGTTGTAGAATAGGCTTTGAGTCTCTTGACTCAGTGGGCTTGCAAACATAGCATCCAGAATTAATTTTTTTCTGTTTCTGTAAG